AAATGGTTCTTTGACAGTGAAAAATATTGTAGTCTAACCTTCGGAACATTTAACGAATCATTCAAAGCTTACCGATTTCTTTTTGTGTGACGTAATGGGATCAATCAACGCCTACACATTCGACGTTGTTCGATTACTTGATTTAGAGCCTATTTCGATTCGGACTATTTTTAGAATTTTTATCCAAATGATTATAGTTAGAAAAAAAATTGAAACGTTTATTGAAAATTCTCGACGTATGTGAGTGAGGCCTTAACAGTTTTAGTCTTTAAAAAATAAATTATTTTTTCGACTTTTAGAAGAACTTTAGAAGACTTTTAAAAGAAAGTCATACGACACTTTTTTTTTATTGCATATGTGGCAAAAAAGAAGACACTTGGTAAGTGACTACCGTCGCCCATGGGCATCTACAACTCAAAAGTCAAGAGTGCGTTGTAACCGTTTGAGTCCCATTCCCCACAATCAGGGAAAGGTAAGGTTTGGGCTGCCGTAATCTGACTCAGTCGAAAAACAACAATGAAAAAATAGCTTAAGATCGGTTTACCGGTTTTCTGTGAGGCCGTGGTATCAGTCCGGTTAAGTCAGACATGTCATGATCATGATGGACGGTCATGTTTCTCTCACGACAACATGGCTCTCCTGCGATGTTGTACATACTGTTAAAAATCAAACATTTGATATCCTAATAATTTATAATTGAACGTTTAAAAGATTCATAACACGAATTTGACCTCTAAACTTTAATTGTGGCAAACTTTAATCATGTCTTTCGTTTAAACAATATATTTAAAAAGGTTATATACAAGTAATATGATAACGAAGTGAAAAAATTGTTAAGGAGTTACCTCAAAAAATATTACAATACCCGTCGAAAAGCGAATGACATGATTCGGTACTGTAACCGAGTTGATTAAACAGACAGCAGAGACAGATTCTGTCAACCGCACAGCGGCAATTTGTGTTTTACCAATGCGACATTCAAATGCATCAAATCATCCTTTACGTCTATCGTTTAAAGCCCATTAAACCCGCAATGGGCGTGAACGAATGAGGATTATACAATTTTATCGACGTTAGCTATTGCATACAATAGCTTTAGGTAATTTTAAAATATGTTTATAGTTAGTTCAATTATATGTAATGTTCAAGATGCTGAGGTACAATCGAAGGTCTTCAAGAAAATATATCTTTGTGATACTCTCGCTCTCTTGATCTGAGTAATGAGATACTTCCGACGAAATCATATCGTAACTCAACCTTTGTCGAATTTTATTACATTATTGCGAATCATTTAAGTCGAATATCGTTTTATGTTAAGAATTAAGTTGAAGTAAGACATTTTACTTGTCAATGTACATTATTATACACACTAAAAGTAGGTATATTGAGAATTTTGACGTTTACCCTCCAGCTATTATAGACGCTACTATAATAATGTTAAAAAAAGGTATTACGTAGTTTTCTCCACCTGGTCTATCATCTCACCTGTTCTGTTACGTCAAATCCCAATATATTACTGTAGTAGCCTGGGTCTACTTGTAGTGGCTTTCCGGTTATCGATATGCTTGATACCGTGCATTTTCACATTCTGTTTGGTATACTGCAGTCTGTTAACATATGTCCAAGGACAATTGATTGGTTTCATAGTTACTTGTATGCTCGCTGGCAGCGTATTTGCATTGAAGACTCGGTGTCTTCCTGGTGCCGTATTTCTGCTGGTGTACCTCAGGGTGGCGTTTTATCTTCTTTACTCTTCGCTGTTTTTATAAACTCCATCTCTATTCAATTAAGTTCATTCTAAAACTTCATGCAAATGATTTATAAATATCTACACAAGCTCCGCTTCACCTGTTATCTGAGGCATTCAACAAAATCAAAACTGACCTATCTGACCTGTTGGTCTCAAGAATTAACTGTACACAACTGCCCTTAATTCAATTCGGTGGTACCACACTTGAGACTATTGAGTTGACGGTACCATCAGGTGACCCGTCTGCTCGTTTGCCTCTTACCCTTTGCCCTTATACCAAAAAAAATCTTCACTTTTCTTTATAACATCTTGTTCAATCCTAGAGCCCCCTTCTACCTCAAAGAACGGTTCAAGTTCTTGAAAACACAAATGAAAAATATCTGAGTTCATCCGAGAATTTGAGGCTGGAGATGCCTCTGCATTCCACAAAATTTTATGACCTTTCTTTTACTGTTGAAGCTGTACGTTTGTAGAATGCATTGCCGATAAACATCAGGTGGGCGCAGACGATAAATACCTTTAAGAAAATGGTTCAAAAATTTTATGTTTCTTGATTTAGTCAATTACGCGTCAAGGCGATTGTGATATAATTCATTAGTACATATATTTATACATACATATGTATAACTACATGTATATATATCGTATGTATATGTGTATATGTATGTATAATATACAGGGTTACAAGAAAAGTCGTGCTAGATCCGTTAAGGGCGTGGAGTACCCATCATTTCTGACATATTTCAAATTGAAACACCCTACCCTAAACTTAACCCTTTTCGAGATAATCGTCTTTTAATTTTTTTATTGAAATTTGCTGATTTTTAGGCTACTACATTTATTTTTGTTTATTTTGTGTATCTTATTATTATTATTTTTGCATTTTTACATGTGTAATAAGATGCTTTAGGACGTCAGTCATTAAAATAGTTCATAAGTTAATTGAATAGATCGTAGTAGACAAGTGAAAGTAAAGAAATAAAAAAAAAATTAGAAAAATATTTTTCTCTAACGGATATCTAAAAACAATATTATGGTAATTGTTCGGCAGATGTTTTTTAAAATATCTACGTTTCATCAGCTATCTAACGAGGTATAATAATCTAAGGTTTTATTCAAATGCATTGAAAAAACTTTAGTTTCATAGGCGACAGTGGAGAAGAAAATTTATACTTAGCCCAAAAAAGTAAAATAAAACAATAGTTAAGCATGAAATGTCATTTATTAAAGGTTTTCACACAACTTTTTCTTATTCTACAGTTCATGTTCAACATGGCCGCCTCTATTTCTGATACATTGTCGCATCCTTCTACGGAGACCAGTCTTCACTACTCGTAAGTCTTCCACAGACGAAACTGGATTCGGCTCGCTGTACACAAGACTTTTCATGCACCCCCACACATGAAAATCCATGGGGGTTAGGTCCGGACTTCTTGCTGGCCATGGCAACGGCCCACCTCGTCCTATCCATTTGTTTGGATAATTTGTGTCCAGCCAGTCCCTGACACTTCTCCTGAAATGGGCAGGGCAGCTATCGTGTTGGAACCACATGTCCCTGATCAGGTTGAGTGGCAGATCATCCAGCAAATCACTCAAGTCTGCTCTCAGGAAATTTTCTTAGCTTTCCCCATTTAGATTATCCGGGAGAAAGTAAGGTCCAATCAAATGATTGGAGATAATGCCCATCCACACATTCACGCTGAATCTTCGTTGGGACCCCTTAACTCTTTTCTTATTGGGATTCCTTAGTTCTTTTGGGGCCCAGTAATGGGCGTTGTGATAGTTAGTTATGCCATCTTTATCAAATTTGGACTTATCCGTCCACAAGATATTTCTTAGAAAATCTGGGTCTTCTACGCCAGCATTTAGCATAAATCTGCAAAAGTCCAATCTTCTCGCGGGGTCTCCTTCTTCAATAACGTGTACTGGCGTGTAATGGTACGAGTATAGGCCAGCTGTATGCACTGTAAACCACACTCTCCATTGCGAAAGTCCCAGATCACGGGCAACAATATTAGTGGAAGTAGTCGGATCCGCTCGAAAGTGTTGCACTATATCATTGTCCTGTTCTTCGTCGTCAATTCGTGGTCTTCTCATGTCTGTATTTCGTCTCAAAACAGAGCCAGTTTCTCGAAGTCTTCGATAAACTCTGTCAAAAACGGCCACATCCGGCACTCGACGACCAGGGTAGCGAGTTATGTATTCGTTGCGAGCTTGCGCAGACACACAATCGCAGTATCCGTAACAAATAAGCATATCAGCATATTCCTCAGGTGTGTAGGACGTCATCTTCAACACTTCCGTATCACAGGTACAAATCAGAGTCCGGTTAACAAGCACAGTAGTCACAAATCAGAAGAAATAGTCCAGAATCACAGCCAAGTCGAGAAAAAGAGCAAAACGATATCACATCTACTATGTACGAAGCACAAAAGCAGACTGTTGTATTCCCAGCCCTAACCGGTCTCTACACATTTTTTCTTTCATTCGCACCCACATAAATCGTCACTTGTCTCGCTCGCTTGGTGTGTCTTAACTTGAAGGACAATAGGCGCGGAACCGTTAGAACTGTTCCCTGGAGCGTCCCAACTAAATTATAAATATATTTTATTTTAAAAAACATCTGCCGAACAATTACCATAATATTGTTTTTAGATATCCGTTAGAGAAAAATAATTTTCTAATATATTTTTTTATTTCTTTACTTTCACTTGTCTACTACGATCTATTCAATTAACTTATGAACTATTTTAATGACTGACGTCCTAAAGCATTTTATTACACATGTAAAAATGCAAAAATAATAATAATAAGATACACAAAATAAACAAAAATAAATGTAGTAGCCTAAAAATCAGCAAATTTCAATAAAAAAATTAAAAGACGATTATCTCGAAAAGGGTTAAGTTTAGGGTAGGGTGTTTCATAGTGAAATATGTCAGAAATGATGGGTACTCCACGCCCTTAACGGATCTAGCACGACTTTTCTTGTAACGCTGTATATGTGTTTTATGTGTAAACATTTATTTAATTTTACCTCTTTTTTGTTTATTAGTAATTACCTGTCAAAACATTTTAATCAATACTAAGGTTGCCTGAAAGAGATTGCTCTTAACAATACGGCTTTGTCATTGCTTAAATCTAATAAATTACATGTCTAATATTTTTATGTACCATACTACGTAAAACGGTGTACAAATAAAGAGTTTTCTATTTATCTATCTTATTATGACTCAATTGAAAGGGAAATATGACTTGTGATTTAGGTACCCATACAGTACTTACTACAAAAAGAAGAAAAAAACAATATGAACCAAAAACGGAATTGGTTTTTGTACAAACCTCAAAAAGAGACATGATCCAATCACTTTCAAAAGAGATTTAATATGTCCTCAAAGTAAAGAATATCTCCGCATGTGACAAAGAAGTATCGTTAAGTAAACAAGTGAACGATCACAATTCATGTCACGACTCGACTGTGCTACCGGCAAAACAATTTTGTATCCATCTGTACTGACAGAGAGATAAGTGAGTAACACTTGGGCCCGTATTTTAAAAGACGTCTCAAGTATTGGTTGAACTCTGATTGCCTGAAACTAGTTTTAAGTGGAGATCAAAACTTAAGTATCGATCTTATTATAGAACGCGTTTTAAGTTTTACTCAGTTGAAACTAGTTTCAAGAATTGATTTCAACTTACAGTCTGTTCTCAATTACATTTCCACATGATGAAACTTTTTACTCCGTTCCACGCAGTTAATTTAAAAAATAATAATCTCAAACACACATAATTACTGTGCATTTGAATACATTATACCTACTATTGTCAAGTGTAACCATGTAAACTCATTAATCTTGTTGCCTGCCTCAAATAAAATATAATAAATAGGATTGTATGTATATATAATTTATGGTATATTAAATATAGTTAACTGTAAACTGTAACGGAACGTGCAAATTATTTACCACCAGCACTTGTGTCACTCATTTTTGAGTCGAGTTCAACTTAAATTATATTATATTTGATTTACGATTTAAATTATTTAATATATTACACTTTTATCATAAACCCAAGTTGAAATTGATTTTAATTTAAATAAGTAATTTAATATGTCAAGTGGGAAAAAGAAGAACTTTATAACACAGGTATGTATAAAATATGAATGAATTAAAATGCTCATTTAAAATTACATAAATAGACCAGCCTCCGAAGTTACTTTTACTTTCATAGAAGTGAATTAAATTATTATATTAATTGAACCACTGAACAGCGAATTTAGAATATTGGTTAAAAACAAGATTGTGGCTTGCACCTTCAGTCTAAATTCATTTACAATAGTTTCTGTGTGTTTTCCAAGCATTGATTTCGGTCTCTTGTTTAGTTTCCTTTTGTACATTTGTACGTTTTATAAAATGTTATAATACAAATTTATTGTCTTTCAGGAGAAAAACCTACTTTTAGAAATTTTGAAATCGTATAGACATAATCGAAAATAAGAAAACCGACAACATACATGCCAACTTAAAAAAGCAAGCCTAGGTTGATATTGCAGACAGGTTTAATACCTCAGCTGTTGTAACAGAATCAGTAAGTATATTTTGTGTTTTTAAATGTAATTTGTCATAAGTAAAATGTTCCTATATCTTTGTCTTTCTGCTTATGCTGCAGGCTACAGAAGAACAATTACGCCGCCTTTGGACCAACCTCAAAACACGCCATAGGGACTCTCTTACAAGAGAACGACAGCACAGATTGGCCACAGGTGGAGAAGGTCCTTGTCCTGATGCTGTAATCGATGCAAATATTGCAGAAATTGCACCAGCTCTCCTAGTAGAGATACCAAACGCTCTTGACTCTGATACTCTAGGTGAGTATTAGGAGACAGATACCTACATGTACATATAATCTCATGCCAATGCCTGCCTTCCTAGGAGGTAGATAATACAGACTGCCATTTACTTCTGTGTGGTTTTAAAGAAATAGTGTCATACTTTTGTATGAGTGTTATTTACATGGTGAGGCTATTTTGTAAAGCTCAGCTTTCTTCCTGATCAATATGTTCAATGTAAGTTAATATATTGGTCAGAATTCATATTGTCACACAGGCATATAGACTCATTTTTAAATATGTATATAGATTACATTATTTGTTAAATTACATGAAATAACATGTATTTCTAATAATAGCTATTATATTATGTTACAGAAATATACCAAACCCAGCCAGAAGTATCCACACCTCTCATTTATAACCCAGAACAATTATCTGCACCTGCAAACACCAATATAATAGGACCATCCACATCTTGTCTGCTACCACCAACATCTCCACCACAAAATGACCCACAAACCACTCCGATGTCACCACAAACTGACTTCCCACCAGCAACACATCATGCCTTCAATTACTCATTTAATGAAAAAAAATTAAGGGTGCAAATTTTAAAACGTGAGCACTTAAGTAGAGAGAAAAGGGCCGAAGAAGTACACAGTATGAGAAAAAAATTTGAAGAAGAAAAGCATTCATTAGAAGTGGAGATATTGAAAGAAAACCTAAGAGAAGCTAAAGCTAGAGCAGAGTTGGAACAAAGAGAACTGTGCTGATATTAGATAAGGTATCTTTATTAGGAGAGTCTGTAATTTTGGTCCAGATTGTTATATTTTTTGTTAGTATGTGTTGTGTTTACCTATAATAATATTGTTTTGTTGTTAATATGTTGATTATTTTTAAATATAATACCTGATCTCATAAGTAAATTAAGTATTTTATTTCAAAAGTTAACCTTATTGATTGTTTTACCTTTACCTAGGACATTATTTTACATTAAAAATATATATTAATGATAATAATATTGTTGGGTATAACAAAATTATGTGAATAATAGTTATTCACAAGTATTACAGTACTAAGATATTATTATACATTAAAAATATTTATTAATGTTATTATATTGCTGGGTATATTAAACTTTATGTATTTAAAAACTATATAAGTGGTCTTTTATATACCCTTTATAGTGTATAGCTTTAGTAAGTATTTGAATCAATTATTCACATAAAACTTTCAGTTATCAGCCATATTTGACTAATGGAAAGTTTAGGCATTCTAAAAATATCAGTCTTGAAAAATAAAACGAATATAATATTTTTTATGTTAAATATAATTTAATTGTAACCATCAATAATTGCTTGGCGTATGGCAAATCCATCTTCTGAGCCTACATTGGCTGCTTGGTCTGTTGGTGGCTCTGGTTCATCAATTTGATCATTGACGCCTTCATGCTCAGATGATATCTCATCATTTAGACGAAAACCAATGTTGAACAGAATGGTACATGCCACTATAATATTTGATACCGTAGATAGCTTATTGCCTAAACCTCTACGTAGACAGGGAAATCTTCTTTTCCACATACCAAATGTCCTTTCTACAACATTACGTGTTCTGGCATGCACTTTGTTGTATACTTGTTCAGAGAAGGTGGTTGGTGAGTTCACAGGTGTTAAGAGGTAAGGTAAGCAAGGATAACCACGATCCCCTACTAGTATCCCATCATGGATCCTTTGAATGTATTTCATTTTTAATGAACTCATTTGAAATATACGGCTGTCATGAGTACTCCCAGCCCATCGTGCCACTATATCCAGAAATTCCCCTGATGGTCCAACAACTGCCTAAAATCACAAATATTATTTAATTATAAATAATAAGCATTGTCACACAAATTCAATCAATTTTTTAAATTATTGAAACCAATAAATAATAATGAATTAGTTCTTGAGTGGGCAGTGTGTTTAAAATACATATACACATTATACTATACTAGTACATATTATATGATTAACATGTACCAATACTCACTTGGACATTGATGGAAAAATAAGATTTTCGATTTCTGAAAACTTCATGATGTTGTACTCCTGGAGTGTCTACTATTTTAATATGAGTGCAATCAATTGCACCATCAATGTTTCGCAGACCAGAGTGGTGATTATACTGCCCAAGGCAGGTGAAAGCTCCTCTTTGAGTAGTCTTTTCCGTACTGTTTGTGGGATATTTTATAAATTGATGATGTTTTTGTGCCAATAACAAAGAAATTTTGGCTATTACATTTGAGACTGCTGGCTGTGATACATGTAGTAGATCACCACAAACTATCTGAAAATAAAATAAATTTTAATAATATTAAACAAAACTATTTTGATTAAAAATTTATTTCTTTTTAAACTAACATCAAAGTACTGATTTACCTGGAATGAGGCTGTGGCATAGAACCTCAGACATATTAAAATCTGCAGTTCTGGGGCTAATGGTAGCCCTCTTTTATTTAATTTTACCAGATCACCAGCAATTATTGGTAAGATATAATTTTTCACAGTTTCTTGATGAAACCTGTATCTAATTTTAAAATCCATCTCATTCATTGCGTATGGGTCTTGCGCATCGCGTAAATATCTGCGTGGAATATTTGGGATATCCAAGTAAAAAAATCTTTCGTAACTGTCCAGAAACAAATCATCGTAAAACATATTCATTTTCCACTAAAATATTACTTTAGTAGCACTTATCACTGCTTGAGAATAGTTTCAGCTTATCTCAGGTGAACAATGATCACACCTGTCAAAATCTATACCTGAGTGGAGATTTTGACATAAACATCGTTCTAAAATAAGCTCTCACTCACTTGAGTATGGATCGGTGAATCTCATTTTAAGTGACATTCAATAATAAAATCTCTACTTAAAATTAGTTTTAAGACTAGATTCACGACTGAGACACCTTTCAAAATACGGGCCTCGTAGTGTATCTGGTTATAACTAAATTAATCCAAAGAAAAGTTGTTTTAGGACGCTCCTGATATGTCACTCGTATCCATTGACATAATTTTTTTAAGAGAAATAATATCCCGGTTACCTGGTGTCTAAATAAAGAGTTTTTTACAAAGAACTAATTGAATTTAGTCATCAACACCATCTTTGTATGTTTCAGTTCATTTCAAAAAATGTGTTACAGTTAAGTTAAATTGTTAAATGCATTTTCAATAAACTATATTGTGTTTAACATTAAATTGATTGAATAGAACGTAAGCACATATGTATAAAGGTAGGCCTTGTCCTTTTGAGTTTTTTTACATAGGCTTTAGGAAAAACGAAAATGAATATGAGAAAATATGGAAAGTTTTTAGTATAGTTTAGTATAGTGCTCAGCGTTAACGCAATAGCGTTACGGTCTCGTGACAACTATTAGTGTAGGAAGCTCCTGCTAGTAACTATATCAAAGAGAGAATGTGTTGGTTCCGCCGCTTTGGAAAGTATAAATAAGCGTCGAAAAGAGTCTAATTTGGTAATAAATAAATCAATACCAAACTTGCAATATTTTGGAATCTCTGTTCTAGTAATAGTTTTGTAAACATAAAAATACTGTGTTGTTCTTTGATCATTATTTTTTCAGTTTTGTTTTATTTCTTTTATATTGTCGTACTAAAGATATTACACATTGGGTGTTTTAAATAATGTCATTAAAAATGTTGAAAAAGAAGTTTGATAATAGCATAGGCCAATAGGTGAATTTTAGAACAATGTTTTTTGAAGTGTTTCATTCTTCCGGTGGTGGCGTTGTATTCGTTTTTTTTTCGAAATGTCTAATCTGAATGTAACTTCTTGCTGTATTTAGATCCAAATAAATCCAGAGTTTATTGAGAGAATTCTTATTTATTTTGTGTAATCCGAATAGGTTATGGGCCCAGTCCCATCGCGAGTGATAAATAAATAAAGAACAATTACAGTAAAGAATCAGATATTAGACAAAAGGTTTGTCTACGACTCGTAAAAATGGAGGTTGCTGGCAAATCTATGTGCGTTGAAAAGTTCGACGGATCCAACTTCAAGCAGTGGAAATTTCAAATTAAGTGCGCCCTGCGAGCAAAGGGATTAAAAATCAACGAACCACGTCCGACTACGAACGCCGCACAATGGGAAAAAGATGACGGGATGGCGATGTTCCTCATCACGTCAGCTATGGACTTAAAACAAATTGCTTTGGTAGAAAACTGTGAAACGGCTCAAGAAATAATGTCAAAACTAGAGTCCGTTTTTGAACAAAAGTCAGAACTGACCAAAATGATGTTACATGAAAGCTTCTATCAGTACAAAATGTCAGCGACAGACAGTATTGCTCAACACATTGCAAAAGTAGAAGGATTAGCTAAGCAACTGAAGGAAAGTGGCGAAAAGATTAGTGACACTGCTATTATGACAAAGATTTTAAGTACCCTGCCATCTAAGTATAGATCGCTTCGCCAGGCATGGATGTCACTTGATCCAAGCAAGCAAACAATTGCAAACTTGACTGCACGTTTGTTAGATGAGGAAGCAAGCATGAGTGTAGAAGAAGTAAATGAAACTGCCTTGTTGGTGGCAAAACAGAATACAAAGAAAACTCAGAATACAAAGTCAAAGAAAGAAGTAAACAATGAAGCAAAGGAAAGGCAGCAGCATCGTTTTCCTTGTTACAATTGTGGCAAACGTGGTCATTTTGCCAGAGAATGTCGTGCACCTAAGAAAAGTACAGGTGAAAAGAATATGTTATCCTTTAGTGTAACAAACTCGGAATGGAGTGATGTAGATGAAAGTCACAAATGGATTTTGGATAGCGGTGCTTCAGCACATATGTCTTTCAAAAAGGAATACTTTGTGGATCTACATAAATATGAAGGATCTCCACTGAGGTTAGGAAACCGAGAACCAATTGAAGTCGGTGGTCAAGGAAATATTTTGATAAAGAGATATGTTGGTGGCCAGTGGGAGACCAGTATTTTGAAAGATGTCCTATATGTACCTAAACTACATCGGAACCTGTTCTCAGAGGGAGCTGCTTCGCGTCAGGGATACACAATTGTGAAAGCAAATAGTGACGCTAGAATTTACAAAGAAAATGAATTAGTCATGTGTGCGAATCTTCAAAATAATAACCTATATGAACTAAAAGTCAAAGTTCTTCAAAGTCACATGTGTCATGTAGTGCAAAAATTAGACCTTAAAACAGTACATGAACGTTTAGGACATCTGAATATTGAGGAAATTAAGAATATGTATAAAAACAACGTGATTGCCGATTTAGAATTGGACCTGTCAGACAATGACAAGTTTGTGTGTGAGGGGTGTGTATACGGCAAACATGCTCGGAAACCTTTCAAACGTTCCAGCCGAGGGCAGTTACAGCCTGGTGACATTATCTATAGCGACGTGTGTGGACCTTTTAATGTGCTTTCTATGCAAGGTATGAAGTACTTTGTTATATTTAAGGATGCAGCCACCAGCTACAGATATGTTTATTTTTTGAAACATAAAAGCGATGTACTAGATTGTTTCAAGAAGTTTAATGCAATAATTAAAAATAGGTTTTTGCATAGTGTGCGTATACTCCATACTGATAATGGAGGTGAGTATAAGAGCAAAGAGTTTAAGGAATATTTAGAAAGGGAAGGCATTTCTCACGAGTTAACTGCTTCATATACCCCAGAACAAAACGGCCGTGCTGAGCGAGAATTAAGAACCATTGTTGAAAGTGCTCGTGCCATGCTATATGCTCGTAATGTACCACT